TTGGTTTGCCAAGATCAGCAGCGCTGAGCCACCAGGCAAGACAGTCACTGAGGCCTGCCCCGAGTTCACCCATGTCAGGAGGCCGGGAGGCCCTCGGCAGAGCCCAGGGATTTGCCGCCTCAAGGATGGCTGAGAAGAAACGGAACAGGAGCCTGGGTGCCCTGGGGAGCCCCCGTCATGCAGGCCGAGGTGGCCGCCCTCAGAGCTCAGATGGGCCCCGGCTCTTGCTAGAAGACCCGGCTCCCCAGAGCAGGGCTTCCAACTCCTGTGCCCAGGAGCCCCTGGAGACAGCGTGAGGGTGCAGATGCTGGGCAGGTCTGGTCCTGCGTTTCTAACAAGCCCCCCGGCGACGCGGCTGCTGCCTCCGTGGCACAGTGGGCACAAGGGCCGTGGGCAGGGGCTGGCGTGGGCTCTCAGGGCGAGGGCTTTCCCTGCTGACCCGACACCGACCAGGCCGTCCTTGCTCCACGCCCCTCACGCTGCAGCCTGGGAATCTGAGCCGGGAACCTGAGCCAGGAGCTGCTGGCCGCTCTCTGGGAAGCGGGACTGACCTCCCCACCGTCGCCCCTGTGGTGAGATCCTGCCTGGGAGCATGGACCTGCGGTTGGGCTCTGGGAGACAGAAGTGGCACCACAGCTCGGGCCCCACGCAGTGGACACTGCCACTTAATTTCGGTGTAATTGATGTCAAGTTGGGTACCCTGGCCCCCAGTGAAATGCCTAATGAATTTGCTGTGATTAACGGTGCTCCACGCCATGGACAGTGGTGGATCAGAGCTGCCCCTCCTGATAGAGGCTGAGCTGCCTGGGGCGGGCAGAGCAGAACTGGCTGTGGGGGCGTCTTGGCCACGAACCAGCCCCAGCCTCTCTCAGGGCCCCAACCCGCAGACCATGTAATTAAGCTTCGTTCTGCAGCCAGGGCAAGGTGCGGAGGAGCCTGTTTCTAGCACTGGGGAGGAGGGAGTGGGGAGGAGGGAGTGGGGAGGAGGGAGTGGGGAGCAGAAGAGCAGAGGGAGAGGGAGGCTCGCTGCGCAGGGGCCTTTGTGGATGAGGCTGGGATGCCCCCCGCCCCTCCGCTCCCTCCAGAGTCTCAGCTCTGAACGTCTCCCTGCACCTCTGAGGAGCCTGGAAAGCCCCTAAAACCGAATTTTCTGCCTCAAGACAGAAGATGGGCATTCCAGGGAGAGAAGAGCTGCCCAGTCACGTGCCCTGCCCACCAGGTCCGAGACGCTTGATCTGTAGAAGACACTGAGGGCGTGGATGGTGGACCTGGCCACCCAGCTGTAGCTTTTTGGGTTCCCGCGGTCCCATTTCTGGGGTCAATCTCCTCACACCTGCCCACTCTCAGGAAGACCCCCCCGGGCGCCTCACACTCCTGGGGGCAGCAGGAATTGGCTTCAGTGCGGGACGAGGGGCCCCACTGGGTGTTTGGAATCCCTGATCTGGGACAGGCACTGGCAGCAGGGTCCCGGCCTGGCCTGGACTCTGGTGTGTCCCGTTTGAAGAAACCCCACCCTGTGAAAGTTCAAGTTTAGCATCCAATGACCCATTTAAGAGGTTTGCTGAGCCACGTTGCAGGAGTGTCTTGACCCATTTAAGAGGTTTGCTGAGCCACGTTGCAGGAGTGTCTGGGTGCAAACGGAGGTGGCAACACACAGGGCGAGCCTTGAGCACCCAGGTTGTCCCTGGGGCCTCCAGTCTGACCTGGGGGGGGGGCTCCTGCCGGCCTGTGGAGCAGCCCCCTGGGATCAGGGACAGGGCTGAGCTGGGGAGTGTGCAGGATTGATTAATGATGTCCGCCACGGTCCAGCCAGCTGCTGTGTTTCTGGGGCCCACAAGCTAAAAATGGTTGGAAAAAAATCAAAAGATTAATATTTGTGACATATGAGAATGCTATGAAAGTCAACTTTGCTATCCATAAATAAAGTTTTATTGACACAGCCATGCTCACTTTTTCTCATATTGTCCGTGGCTGCTCGTGTGTCCAGGCATATACCAGGAGGCTGCAGACGGAGCTGGATTCTTTCTGGCCCTTTGCCGGAGGCATTGCTGACCCCTGCTCTGAGGTTCCCTGCGGCTCTCAGGATCCAGACCCCAGGCTTCCTGGGACAATGGGAGCCAGTGGCTCCCTGGGCTGCCCTCCTCCCCAGCTCTCCTCCTACCCCTGCCCATCTAGGAGCCCCCACACATGCCACTTGTGGCCCACGAAATCTGACCTGTGAAGGGCAGACAGAGGAGCAACCCTGCCTGAAAAAGAGGACTCTGACTTTGCCGCCCCGCTGCCCTGCCTGGCCCTGCTGTGGTGTCACCAGGAAAGGCCATGGCAGAGGGACATGCCCACAAGCTGCCCCAGGAGAAAGCGGCTGAGGCAGGGAGGGCAGCGCTGCCCTTAGGAAGCCCCACAGTGGTGCCCCCACCTCCCCTGGGTTCCAGGAGTGTGGACAGACCCTGCTGGGAGCAGATGGTACTTCTGCAGCTGAGGCCCGCTAGACGCTGGGCCATGCCGGGGACCTGAGCCTGGGGCCACACACTCCTCCCGGCCAATGTCAGTGGGCTTCTTCCAACAGTCTTGGCCCCGGGGTTGGGCCCACTTCCCGCCCACTCTCCGTGTGGACGGATCATTGCTGCTGCACTCTGTTCCTCCCTCCCAGGACTCAGAAGAGGGGCCTGGTGGGAACAGGAGGCAACCGTTGATCCCTGGCCTACGCCCACACAGAGGCCACCCCCCAGTCTGGTCTCTCTGGGCCGGCCCCTGGAGTGTGCAAAATTGAAAAATAGAAATTCCTGGGAAGTGCTGAGTCTCCTGCAGTGCTCAGAGATTCGCCAGTCCTGTGCCTGTCTTGGCCTGGCCCACGGCTCTCAATGTGGTGGCCGCCATCCCGCCAGCCTTGGCCGCCCAGCAACTGTGGACCATGTGCCTCTGATGTTGCATGGGAGCTCAGACCCCACATCTGTGGACTGAGGCTTCTCAGCCTGGTGGCTGCTAGACCCAAATAAAGTGCGGACCCGGCCCGGCCGGGTCAGACCCCATTGAACACTTGGGGATTCCTGCCAATCACAGACCCTGTGCCTTGCCCGGTGCCTCAACGCCTACAGGGTCAGCCTGTTCCACCCCCAACACCCAACTCGGCACTGGGCCAGCCTGGCAACCCCCTCCTCAACAACGTAACCCCGGATCTGACCCACCCCCTCCCTCCCGCAGAACGCCACTGCACTCCCGCCCCAAGTCGGTGTCACAGGAGGAGCACAGCAGAAGGTGCAGGAAGCCGAGTCTGGCCAACACCCTCTGGAAACTCATTCCCGCACCCCCCTGGGAGGCCTGGACCGGGACCTGGGCACAGGGAGGATCTCTGTGCTCTGGGGCATGGGGGTGGGTACAGTCAGCCAGGGACGTGGCAGGAGACACGCATAGCCCCTCTCCGAATCTGCAGGAGGCACCTGCCGTGCAGCTCGGACCTCCCTGGGCTTCGGGGCTTGGTGACCACAAGGTTGGACTGAGGGTGGGGGCAGTTGGCCCAGTAGGGGCAGCGCAGGTGACCCAGCACGGGGGCTGTGGGAGGTTGAGGGCTCGCTGGAGCCAGCTTCCGGGACCCCTGGAGGAGGGAAGACCGCAGGAAGACCCAGTCCCAGAGGGCCCTGGCTCCGTGGGCTCTCCGTCTTTCTTCCTAAGGAACGACCACACCTCTCATGCAGCCCGAGCTTTTCTTAGAGACCAAGGAGGCTGAACAAGAAGCATATTTTACGAAAAGGGAGTATATTTTACGTGTTGCTTTTGCTCTCCCGATGGGAGGGGATGACGGCCTGCGCTTGCTGGCAGTTTTGGAGCCATGCCCAGAAGTTTGTGTATCTGTGGATGCTGGGCCAGGCGTGGGTGGCACCATGCGGGGAGGGGCCTTGGTGCTGGTGTTGAGGGAATGAGCTCCTTACAGGCCTCTGGACAGTGGCCCCAGGGCACCCGGCCCCTTCTTATCCTAATCGAGGTCCGCAGAGGACACCCTGTGTCCCCTGAGCTCTCCAGGGCTGAGGCTATCTCTGCCCCATGTCTCAAGCCTCAAGAGGCTCCCCTCTTTCTTACCCAAAAAACCTGTGGTTGGCAGTCCCCCAAATGTGTCCACGCCCCAATCCCAGGACCCTGTGACCCTGTCCCCACGTGGCACAGGGACCCTGCAGGTGGGACTGAGTTAAGGACCCCGTGACCCTGTCCCCATGTGGCACAGGGTCCCTGCAGATGGACTGAGTTAAGGACCCTGTGACTCTGTCCCCACGAGGCACAGGGACCCTGCAGGTGGGACTGAGTTAAGGATCTTGAGCCAGGAGGTCATCCCCGTGTAATTATATTCTATGCCATAATCTCTTTACATGTAAAATAAACCTAATTATATGTAATCTGTATTTATATATTTTATTTATGTTCCATCCTCCTTATAGAGGGAGGCAGGGAGTGAGGCCGTGGGAGCAGAGGTCAGCGAGCTGCGGTGTGAGGATGGAGGAGGGACCACAAGCCAAGGGATGTGGGTGGCTCCAGAGGATGGGGCAGCAGGAAGCAGGAAGCTGGCTCTGGAAGGAGCAGACAGCAAGATGTTAGTTCAGTGAGACCCGCTCTGACCTCCAGGATGGGAAGACGACACATTGTACTGTTTTAAGGGCTCATTTTGTGGTTTGTGGAGGCAGCCACTGGTTCTGATACCAATCGACCCCGATTCCTCCAGTGAGTCCGAGAGCACAGAACGGACTCCCACTCTGGCCGAGGACACGGTGAGGGAACTGTGGTGACCCCGGCCCTGTTCTTGTGGCTCCCACTCCAGGAGGATGGCTCTAAAGCAGGGAGTGGCCAAAGAAGGCAAAACAGACAATGGGTAGCCCAGGCTGGGAGGGGCTGCATGTGTGGCAGCCACCTCTGAAGGCAGGGGTACCCGAGCTGGGACCTGTGCAGGCATATGGGAGCCGAGAACCCCAGGGACCATGTCAGATGAAGCCATCCAGCAGGAGCAACCTCACACC